ACGAGGCGGAGGAGGAGGAGGACGAGGAGGAGGATGAGGAGGAGGAGTGAAGGAGGATGAGGAGGCGGAAGGATGAACAAGTGGGGAGCGGGATGAGGAGGAGAGATGCTCTTTATGAGACTGCTGGTGATGCTGCTGATGATGATGACAATTGTGGTGGTGATTATGACGATGACGAGGATGCTGCTGCTTACGGCGACTATGGTGATGGCACAGCTGCTGATGATGACTGCGGCGATGTTGATGGTGACGATCGCGATCATTATAAACACGATGACGTCGACGATGACAATGACGACGATGATGATGACGATGCTGCTGCTGATGATGCTGATGATATGATGATTACGATTGTGATGATAATGGTGATGATGACGATGATGATGATTGCGATGGTGATGCTGATTATGATGATGATGGTGGTGATGATGATGATGATGATGATGATGATGATGATGATGATGATGATGATGATGATAATGAATATGATGATGCTGATGATGATGAGGATGCTGGTGTTGCTGCTGATGATGATGCTGCTGCTGATGATGCTGATGCTGATGCTGCTGATGCTGATGCTGATGCTGATGCTGCTGATGATGTTGATAATGATGATGCTGATGATGATGATGATGATGATGATGATGATGATGATGATGATGATGATGATGATGATGATGATTAGCTGATGCTGCTGATGCTGCTGATGATGATGTGAAGGAGGAGGGGGAGGGAGAGGAGGATGCTGACGACGGTGGTGGTGGTGGTGGGGATGGTGGTTGAGGTTAGGCATAATAATGAGGAGGAAGAGGATGATACTCAGGTGGATGAGGAGGATGTGGGGTGAATTATATAGTGGATGGGAATGACGATGAATCTGAGGATGGTGAGAGGGGAGAGGGAGGGACAGCAGGGTGAGAAAGGAGGAACGATCAGAGCGAAGAGCGAACGATAAGGGGCAGGGAGCGGGAGGCAGGAGGTGGAGGTGGGAGGTGGAGAAGGAGGGGGAGGAGGACAAATTCGGTACGCTAGCGTCACATCTGACGTCTTACCCCTCCCTCCCATCTCTTCCCATGGCGACGATCTCCTATCTGGTGTAGAAGAGCACGGCAGATCATAGCATGTCATAGCAAAACGTGGCCTTGAGTAGTCAAGCATTGCACCACAAAGCATACAGTCAAGACGCTGAAATAGGGAACAGTTTGGGTCCGGAAGGGGCTGGACCTTCTTCAGCTCCTTCCATGGCTGTTCTTCCAGCCCTCCTCGTGAGCGAAGGCTGTTTTGGGACCTAAGAGGGGCTTCGTTCCCTACTTGGCGTTCCTTCTTTCCGCGGCCCGACTGCAGCAACGCAAAGCATGGCAGCGCACCGCGGTGCACAAGACAGCATCGCAATGCATGCCGCGGCATGGCACCGGATGACTTGGAGGGTAAGTAGCCCGTCTACGAGATGACAGGGCCTGTTCGGCATGTCGGCCCATGTCCTCCGCAGCCGTGCCCGCCCGGCGTGGGTGCTTTCGAATGTCAGGGGTCGTCCGGAGCTGCCCGGAACGAGGCCAGCGCTGCAGCGGGAGCACGACTTTGAATGACCGCAGCTCACCGAGCGCGTTTTATTTTTCGCAATGTGCCTACTCGCAAACGTCAGAAAAACACATGTCGGCTTTGATGTAGTTTATCGTAGATCCCTCGCGGCGTATCCGGGCCATTTGCGAGTTGTTACTTTGCGAGTAGTGGAACGCGCTCGTCTAGAAGCGCGGAAATGCTGGCGGCGCTGCAGCGGGAGTACCATTATGGAAGAACCAGGAACGACAAGATTGAAGAACGCAGGAACAGCCAAATCCTGAAAGCCTGTGTGTAAAAAACAATACGCGGAGAGGACAGGAGACTCTCCAGACAGAGTCAGGGGAGAGGAGAGTAGTTTTCATATTGTGTAATTGTGGAGGAGGATGCGAGAAGAGGAGAGAGGGGGGATACGGGATCAAAAGTGAATGGAAAGGGGTGAGGGAGGAGGACGTGAACGAAGAAGCACGACGACCGTCAGCGCTGCCAGAGTCGCCCAGGCTGCCAATGGGCTGCGGCTGAACGGTGTTGAGCTCCTGGGCTGCCAGTTGAAGGCCCGCTTGTCGGGCTCGACCTCGTCGTTATCGTCGTTATCGTCGTCGTCGTCGTCATCGTTGTTTGCCTCACCGCTTTACTCCTAGTCGCTACTGCTCCTGCTGATCCTGCTCCTCCTTCTTGGTCCATCGGCTTCTCCTCATCCTCTTCCTCTTCCTTTTCCTGTTGTTCTTCCTCGCAGTGTGTCCCAACTTTAATTAATACAGACGTTGCTCTTCTCTCTCTTCTTGTTTCTCTTCCGCTGACCATTTGATCCCCCTCTCTCTCTTTCTCTGTGCCTGCCTTCCTGCCTGCCTTTCTGCCTGTCTGTCTGCCTGTCTGTCTGGGTTCGTGTCCGTCGCTCTCTTTCTCTTACTCTGATTCCTCCTCTCCCTCCTCGCCCTCCTCT